CCCGATCCCATTCCCGATCCCATTCCCATTCCCGATTTTGGGGTCAGAATTCCCGATCCCATCCCAAATGGAGGTTTTGGGGTCCCACCTTGGCGATGATGACGTCCTTGCGCAGGATTTTCATGGCGTAGTACCGTCCCGACGCCTTTTCCCGCACCAGGATCACCTTCCCGAAGGTTCCCTTTCCCAGCAGCTTCAGGTAATCGAAGTCGTTCATGGTCTGGGGCGAAAAAGGGCAGATTTGGGGTCAGGAACGGGGATTTTCCAGGGAAAAGGGGCGGATTTGGGACCGGGAATGGGGATTTCCAGGGAAAAGGGGCAGATTTGGGGCTGGGAATGGAGATTTTCCAGGTAAAATGGAGATTTTGGGGCCGGGTATGAGGATTTCCAGGGAAAAGGGAGGTTTTAGGGCTGGGAACAGGGATTTTCTGGGGTAAAACGGTTATGGGTTAGGGTTAGGGCTAGGGTTAGGGTTAGGGTTAGGCTTAGGGCTAGGGCTAGGGTTAGGGTTAGGGTTAGGGTTAGGGTTAGGGTTAGGGCTAGGATTAGGCTTAGGGCTAGGGTTAGGGTTACGGCTAGAGCTAGGGCTAGGGCTTGGTCTATAGCCAGGGTAAGGGCGTGGGTTAGGGCTACGGCTAGGGTTAGGGTTAGGACTAGGGTTAGGGCTAGGTCTAAAGCTAGGGCTAGGTCTAAGGCTAGAGTTAGGGCTAGGGCAAGGGCAAGGTCTAGGGCTAGGGTTAGGGCTAGGGCCAGGTTTAGGGCTAGGACTAGGGCTAGGTTTAGGTATTGGGTTAGCGCTAGAGCTAGGGCAAGGGATAGGGTTAGGGCTAGGGCTAGGTTTAGGGCTAGGACTAGGGTTAGGACTAGGCTTAGGGCTAGAGGTAGGACTAGGTCTAGGGTTAGGGTTATGGCTAGGCCTAGGGCTAGGTCTAGGTCTAGGGTTAGGGTTAGTCTTAGGGCTAGGGTTAGAGCTAGGGCTAGGGCTAGGGTTAGGACTAGGGTTAGGGCTAGGACTAGGGTTAGGGCTAGGGTTAGGGTTAGGGCTAGAGTTAGGTCTAGGTCTAGTGTTAGGGCTAGGTCTAGGGCTAGGGCTAGGGCTAGGGTTAGGGTTAGGGTTATGGTTAGGGCTAGAGTTAGGTCTAGGTCTAGTATTAGGGTTAGGGCTAGGGCTAGGGCTAGGTCTAGGTCTAGGGTTAGGGCTAAGGCTAGGTCTAGGGCGAGTATTAGGGCTAGGGCTAGGATTAGGGTTATGGCTAGGGTTAGGGCTAGGTGTAGGGCTCGGGCTAGGGATAGGGTTAGGGCCAGGGTTAGGGCTAGGTCTAGGGCTAAGGCTAGGTCTACGGCTAAGGTAAGGGCTAGGGCTAGGGTTAGGGCTCGGACTAGGGTTAGGGCTCGGACTAGGGTTAGGGCTAGGACTAGGGTTAGGGTTAGGGTTAGGTCTAGGGTTAAGGCTAGAGCTTGAGCTAGGACTAGGGTTAGGGTTAGGCCTAGGGCTAGCGCTAGGGCTAGGGTTAGGGCTAGGGTTAGGGCTAGGGCTAGGGCTAGGTTTAGGGCTAGGACTAGGGTTAGGACTAGGGTTAGGGCTAGGACTAGGGTTAGGGCTAGGGTTAGGGCTTGCGTTAGGTCTAGGTCTAGGGCTCGGGTTAGGGTTAGGATTGGCGTTAGGGTTACGGCTTAGGGTTAGTGTTAAGGCTACAGCTAGGGCTAGGTCTAGGATAAGGGTTAGGGCTAGTGCTAGGGCTCGGGCTAGGGTTAGGGTTAGGGTTAGGGCTAGGTAAGGGCTAGGGTTAGGGTTAGGGTTAGGGCTAGGGCTTGGGCTAGGGTTAGGGTTAAGACTAGGGTTAGGGCTAGAGGTAGGGCTAGGGCTAGGGTTAGGGCCAGGTTTAGGGCTAGGTCTAGGGCTAGGGCAAGGTCTATGGCTAGGGTAAGGGTTAGGGCTAGGGTTAGGGGTAGGGCTAGGACTAGGTTTAGGGCTAGGGGTAGGTCTAGGTCTAGGGTTCGGGCTCGGTCTAGGTCTAGGGCTAGTTTTAGGGCTCGGGCTTAGAGTTAGGGTTAGGGTTAGGGCCACGTTTATGGCTAGGTCTAGGGCTAGGTCTATGGCTAAGGCTAGGTCTACGGCTAAGGTAAGGGCTAGGACTAGGGTTAGGGCTAGGCTTAGGGCTAGGGTTAGGGTTAGGGTTAGGGCTAGCGCTAGGGCTAGGGTTAGGGTTAGGGTTAAGGCTAGAGCTTGGGCTAGGGCTAGGGTTAGGGTTAGGGCTAGGGCTAGGTTTAGGGCTAAGGCTAGGGCTAAGGCTAGGTCTAGGGCTAGGTTAAGGGCTAGGGCTTGGGCTAGGTTTAGGGCTAGGGTTAGGGTTAGGGTTAGGCCTAGGGCTAGCGCTAGGGCTAGGGTTAGGGCTAGAGGTACGGCTACGTCTAGGGTTAGGGTTAGGGTTAGGGTTAGGGCTTTGGATTCGGGCTAGGGTTAGGGTTTGGGTTAGGTTTAGGCTTAGGTTTATGGTTAGGGTTAGGGTTTTTGGTTTTTGGGTTTTTTTCAGGCACTCACAGCCTTCGTGCGGGATTTGGTTTAGGTTTAGGGTTAGTTTTAGGTTTAGGATTAGGTTTTTTTGGGTTTCCATGCACTCACAGCCTTGGTGCGGGATTTGCCCACAGCCACGTCCGTCTCCTCAGTTCCCAGGATTAGGGTTAGGGTTTAGGGTTAGGTTTAGGTTTAGGATTAGGTGTTTTTGGGATTTTTCATGCACTCACAGCCTTGGTGCGGGATTTGGCCATGGCCACGTCCGTCTCCTCACTCCCCAGGATTAGGGTTAGGTTTAGGATTAGGATTAGGGATTTTTTGGGATTTTTGGGTTTTTCTCACAGCTTTGGTGCGGGATTTGCCCACAGCCACGTCCGTCTCCTCACTCCCCAGGGTTAGGGTTAGTTTTAGGTTTAGGATTAGGGATTTTTTGGGATTTTTGGGTTTTTCTCACAGCTTTGGTGCGGGATTTGCCCACAGCCACGTCCGTCTCCTCACTCCCCAGGGTTAGGGTTAGTTTTAGGTTTAGGATTAGGGATTTTTTTTTGATTTTTGGGTTTTTCTCACAGCCTTGGTTCGGGATTTGCCCACAGCCACGTCCGTCTCCTCACTCCCCAGGGTTAGGGTTAGTTTTAGGTTTAGGATTAGGGATTTTTTTTGATTTTTGGGTTTTTCTCACAGCCTTGGTTCGGGATTTGCCCACAGCCACGTCCGTCTCCTCACTCCCCAGGGTTAGGGTTAGTTTTAGGTTTAGGATTAGGGATTTTTTTTGATTTTTGGGTTTTTCTCACAGCTTTGGTTTGGGATTTGCCCACGGCCAGCTCCGTCTCCTCACTCCCCAGGGCTCCGCTCTGCAGCTCCATCGCCTCCGACAGCGGCTCCCGAACCTTGAGACTGTGGGCAACGGCCTGGATGGCCTGGATCCACTCCTCGCTGTGGGATTGGGAAAATGGGATTGGGATTGGGAAAATGGGAATGGGATTGGGATCAATCCCACACAGGGATCCACTCCTCGCTGCGGGATTGGGATTGGGAAAATGGGAATTGGGATTGGGAAAAATGGGAATGGGATTGGGATCATTCCCACACAGGGATCCACTCCTCGCTGTGGGATTGGGATTGGGAAAAATGGGAATGGGATTGGGATCGATCCCACACAGGGATCCATTCCTCACTGTGGGATTGAGATTGGGATTGGGAAAATGGGACTGGGATTGGGAAAAGGGGATTTGGATTGATCCTGGACAGGGATATCACACAGGGATCCATTCGTCACTGGGGAAAAACGGGATTGGGATTGGGAAAAGGGGATTGGGATTGGGAAAAATGGGATTGAGATCAATCCTACACAGGGATCCACTCCTCACTGTGGGATTGGGAAAATGGGATTGGGATTGGGATCGATCCCGGACAGGGATATCACACAGGGATCCATTCCTCACTGGGGAAAATGGGGATTGGGAAAAAGGGATTGGGATTGGGATTGGGATCAATCCCACACAGGGATCCATTCCTCACTGGGAAAAATTGGATTGGGATTGGGATTGGGAAAAAGGGAATTGGGATTGATCCCGGACAGGGATCCACTCATCCCTGCAGGGAGGATTTGGGGTCCCTTTCCCAGGATTTGGAGTCTCATTTCCCAATTTGGTGATTTGGGGTCCCTTTTCCCAGGATTTGGGGTCCCTTTTCCCAGGATTTGGGGTTCATTTCCCAGGATTTGGGGTCTCTCCCCCAGGATTTGGGGATTTGGGGTCCCTGTCCCTCGTCCCCACTGCTCCTCGGGGCTGTCCACGTGGAAGGATTTGGGGTCCCATTTCTCAGGATTTGGGGTCCCATTTCCCAATTTGGGGATTTGGGGTCTCTCTCCCAGGATTTGGGGTCCCTTTTCCCAGGATTTGGGGTCCCTTTTCCCAGGATTTGGGGTCCCTTTTCCCAGGATTTGGGGTTCATTTCCCAGGATTTGGGGTCCCTGTCCCTCGTCCCCACCGCTCCTCGGGGCTGTCCACGTGGAAAGTCCTCTCGATCACCGTCGTCCACTGCAGACAGCGAATGATGAAAGTGTTGGGACGCGGCCGCTCCGACTTCATCAGCTGG